TAAGAGTAAATTCGCTTTTAGATAAAGATACCTCTTACATCCTTATCTTTACCAATTACTATAGAACGCTGATTACCAATATGCCGTACAGTAGTTAGCCCGATGCACCAATTACCTTTATAAGACTATATTTGCTGGTGGCCTCTGTATAGCAAACATCCTTCTAATACGACTACTTCATATATAAACCTTGACCTTGTGTAACGATTTACTCAAACCCGCCGCATTCCGTCCTTAAAATTTCAATAAAATAAGTTCATAATTGTTATCAGTGTATTATTAGGGAGCAGCCCATCGTAGCCCATACATCTTGGGCCGCGGGCCGTCCCTGCCCTCACTTATTACCTTAATTACTCTATTGACGCCGGTATAAATTACTTTAACTTGAACACCCGCGTTATTATGCTTGATTGGCGGAGGGAAGAGTGGAAGAGAAGAAATGAAGGGGAAAATGAGAGGTAAGAGGATAGGCACAGGAGCATAGAGGAAGAGAAGGGGAAGAGAAGGGGAGAAGATGGAAGAGCCCTGCTCTCACCTGTCTGAAGCGCTCATACTAGAATAGAACAATGTACCGTAGTTGAAATTGGAAGTGGAGTGGAGGAGGAGAGGTAAGAATAGTGGATAAAATTAAATATTGAATTCCCTTCATGGCTAGTCTGATTCTGAATCAGAAGCTGTATTCATAACAACTCATACAAGTCGTTACAATTCACGCTCTAATGAACGTAAATGAATTACAAATTTAGACACTATAAAACATTTAGCTTGAAATTTAGGTTGATATATTAGTATATCACTGTTGAGAACAATTGGCAACAGTAGTAGCATGTTAACAAAACCACTTGTTCAGTCAGAGACTACAGTCGTCAGTATAGACGACGCCCTTCGTCACCACAAATGACTCGTATCAGCTGAACACTGCCCAAATAGCCCCATATAATCTTCCGTAGAACGTGACTGTTATCCCTCTCCATTAAACTCTGTTGTTAGACGTCTCACAGATGCGTCTCCGTCACGTTGTCATGTGTGTTTGACGTATTGAATGTAGCATTTGGACCGTCGCTAACGTTAGTGTGCGAGGACATATTTGCGTTTAGGCAATTGTGGCGGGTGGACTAGTGGTGTTAGAGCTAGAGATCCCTCCTGCCAGGAGAAAGGTGCCAGTAGGTGACCCTGTCAGCCAGGAGAAAGGTGCCAGTAGGTGACCCTGCCTGCCAGGTGAACGGTGAAGCAGCTGTCAATGAATAGGGACTTAGGATCGTTGAACACAATGCGTTGGAGGAGTGTGTTGATGTTAAACCAGCGTATAGATGTAGTCACACACACACACACACACACACACACACACACACACACACACACACACACACACACACACACACACACACACACACACACACACACACATTGGATGTGTGGCGGGATCCAAGGCGGGATTGCCAGGCGGGATCCAAGAGTCAATGCTCGATCCTGCAAGCACATATAGGTGAGTACACACATGGTAAGGGGCGAGAAGTCGGACTGGCGAACAGTAACAAGTGGAATACCTCAAGGATCGGTGCTGGGACCAATCCTCTTTCTAATTTACGTAAATGATATGTTAACAGGAGTGGAATCATACATGTCAATGTTTGCGGATGACGCAAAATTAATGAGAAGAGTTGTGACAGACGAGGATTGTAGGATCCTCCAAGAGGACTTAAACAGGCTGCAGAGATGGTCAGGGAAATGGCTACTGGAGTTTAACACCAGTAAATGTAAAGTTATGGAAATGGGATCAGGTGACAGGAGACCAAAGGGACAGTACACAATGAAGGGGAACAGCCTACCTGTAACGATTCGAGAAAGAGACCTGGGAGTGGATGTGACACCTAATCTAACTCCTGAGGCACATATAAATAGGATAACGACAGCAGCGTACTCTACACTGGCGAAAATTAGAACTTCATTCAGAAACCTAAATGAGGAGGCTTTTAGGGCGCTTTACACTGCCTACGTGAGACCCGTCTTAGAGTATGCCGCGCCATCATGGAGCCCCCACCTGAAGAAACACAAAGAAACTGGAGAAGGTTCAGAGGTTTGCGACGAGGCTTGTCCCAGAGTTACGAGGGATGGGATATGAAGAGCGGCTGAAGGAACTGAACCTTACGACACTAGAGAAAAGAAGGGAGAGAGGAGATATGATAGGGACATATAAAATACTCAGGGGAATTGACAAAGTGGAAATAGATGAAATGTTCACACGTAATAATAACAGAATGAGGGGACATGGGTGGAAACTGGAAACTCAGATGAGTCACAGAGATGTTAGGAAGTTTTCTTTTAACGTGAGAGTAGTGGAAAAATGGAATGCACTTGGGGAACAGGTTGTGGAAGCAAATACTATTCATACTTTTAAAACTAGGTATGATAGGGAAATGGGACAGGAGTCATTGCTGTAAACAACCGATAGCTAGAAAGGCGGGATCCAAGAGTCAATGCTCGATCCTGCAAGCACATATAGGTGAGTACATATAGGTGAGTACACACACACACATTTCTCGGTGTACCTGCCATGTGGTTATCGGTAAAGTGCATTAGTGCACTGTACTCTACATGAATATTGTGTCGTGTTCCACCGTGTCCCCGTGTTTGTGTAGCTGTAACATTTCCCGCCAGTATTGTACGTGTGGAGGTGGGTGTCCTGGTGCCAGTGGCAACACACCCGAGGTGGGTGTCCTGGCGCCAGTGGCAACACACCCGAAGTGGGTGTCCTGGCGCCAGTGGCAACACACCCGAGGTGGGTGTCCTGGTGCCAGTGGCAACACACCCGAGGTGGGTGTCCTGGCGCCAGTGGCAACACACCCGAGGTGGGTGTCCTGGTGCCAGTGGCAACACACCCGAGGTGGGTGTCCTGGCGCCAGTGGCAACACACCCGAGGTGGTTGGTTCTTCAGGGGCGTCTAGACGCACACCTTGGCACGTCATAACGTATCCAACAAATTAAAGATGCCGGATGGTTTGTGGTGCTAGGAATACAGTATCATGCGAACTTCTATTATAAAACTGACATTGGCTTTAGGTATCATCTAAATATTGTAAAGGGAGATATTGGTGATGATAAATGGAAGGAAAGGGCGTGGTGTGTGTTAAAGTTCAAGAATGTTTATTGAGACAAGAAAAAATACATCTCAAAGAGATAGAGTAGGTTAGGCTATTTCTACCCTCCTCTGTGGTGTGTGTTGTGAAGCGTTACCTTAGGTTGGCCGCCAGCAACTCCTGCACTGTTACACACTCCACAGCCCGGAAAGGGTGACCTGACTAAGGTTTTGTTCCCTTATCTTATTTTAGTATATGTTGTGTTCGAATGCGTGTTTGCCCGAGCTCTTGGACATGAACGAACGATTTACTATCTGTATTTGATATTGGAAAGACTGTACAAAATATTCAAATATTTTTCGGTATTCGTAGTTCTGATTTCTCCCGCAAGATCTTCTAGCGATAGTCACGCCACGCCCTTGATGTGGCCAATCTTAAGCTGATAAGACATTGTTGGTGCTTGTTGTTTGAAACTGTGGTAGTGGTGGTCCTGGAGCAGGACTATGGTGGTAGTGGTGGTCCTGGAGCAGGACTATGGTGGTAGTGGTGGTCCTGGAGCAGGACTATGGTGGTGGTGTTGGTCCTGGAGCAGGACTATGGTGGTAGTGGTGGTCCTGGAGCAGGACTATGGTGGTGGTGTTGGTCCTGGAGCAGGACTATGGTGGTAGTGGTGGTCCTGGAGCAGGACTATGGTGGTGGTGTTGGTCCTGGAGCAGGACTATGGTACTATGGTGGTGGTGTTGGTCCTGGAGCAGGACTATGGTGGTAGTGGTGGTCCTGGACTATGGTGGTGGTGTTGGTCCTGGAGCAGGACTATGGTGGTAGTGGTGGTCCTGGAGCAGGACTATGGTGGTGGTGTTGGTCCTGGAGCAGGACTATGGTGGTAGTGGTGGTCCTGGAGCAGGACTATGGTGGTAGTGGTGGTCCTGGAGCAGGACTATGGTGGTAGTGGTGGTCCTGGAGCAGGACTATGGTGGTAGTGGTGGTCCTGGAGCAGGACTATGGTGGTGGTGTTGGTCCTGGAGCAGGACTATGGTGGTAGTGGTGGTCCTGGAGCAGGACTATGGTGGTGGTGTTGGTCCGGAGCAGGACTATGGTGGTGGTGGTGGTCCTGGAGCAGGACTATGGTGGTGGTGGTGGTCCTGGAGCAGGACTATGGTGGTAGTGGTGGTCCTGGAGCAGGACTATGGTGGTGGTGGTGGTCCTGGAGCAGGACTATGGTGGTAGTGGTGGTCCTGGAGCAGGACTATGGTGGTGGTGGTGGTCCTGGAGCAGGACTATGGTGATAGTGGTGATCCTCCCAGCAATAAGGTCAGTCACAGAGTCAATACCAGATGGTGTATCCTGTACTAATCACAGCACACACACAGCAAGACAACTGGTATCGCCGCATCCCCAGATACCACTCCGGGCCGGCTCCAGCCTCCCTTTCCGCACCGTGAGGCCACGCTGGACCAGGAGCCGGGCGGTGGGCCTCCACCAAGTAATTAATAACAGTTTTCAGTAGGGGTTGAACCTAAGTTACGGCTTCATCTCCTATCTTGGAAAACTTGGATTTAATTACTCCTCGGGATATTATTATCGATACCAATAATTGCTGTACTTACTAGACCTCGTTATTTTAAATTGAACTGTTCTAATACGATCTCAGACACTACATTTCTTCATTGTACTGCAACAGCAATAAAATATACAAATATTACCCATTTCACAATGTCTTGTGGTTTAGACACGGTCAGTAACTCGGGATTAGTTGTCGGTACTATAATTATACTGGACTATTTATATCCTCGCCTTATAAGACGAGCCATTATTTCCTTCTAATTACTGGCACAAGTGTCTGGAGGTGGAACAGTTGGGCCCAGCACTGTGCCTCTTCACTAGCTGGTTAATAACTTATTGACACGTGTTATCTCATCACAA